CTTTTGCATGCAGTGAAAAGCTTCTAATAGAATAAGGCTTGTTTACACCCAAATGTTCTCCTTTTATTCACATGAAGGTTAAAATGGGGAGTGGAAAGGATCAATATGACTCTTCAGTTTGGATTTAGATCTTAAGTTTGTATCTTTCCTCCTTTAGCCAACAGATGGTTTTATTCATATTGATTTTGATTAACTTTGCTGTTGAATCAATTGATATCTAGTTACATCAAAGAAATTGAGTAAAGCATAATAATGAGAATTCCTTTTAAAAGAGTTTCAGCTGAGAAAAATACTTTTTTCTGTGTCCCACATACTTTTTTATATGCCAATTTAAAACAGTTTCATTTTCTAATACAATGGATAGTATCTTTTTGACACAAAACTTAGTTTTACCATCCAACTTTTAAAAAGTTCTTTATATTTACAGTGCTTAAAGCTTGTGTAAGCACATTTAAAATTCTTTTATACAGAGAAAAATTGCATAGTTTAAAGGTAATTTCAGGTCCGATTAAAATCTGTTACTTGTCCTCTGGCTCTGAAATCCTGAACTGTGACTCAGACACAGACTTTCTGTGTTCTTTCATTCACTTATTTAACCAGAATTCATGGTTAGCATGTTCTTGATTGGGCTTCCCAGGTGGCACTTGTGGTAAAGAATCCACCTGCCAATGCAGGAGACATAAAAGATGCAGATTCAATCCTAGGCTGGAAAGATCCCCTGGAGGAGGGTATGGGAACCCACTCCAGTATTTTTGTCTGGAAAATTCCATGGACAGAGGAGCCTGAGGCTACAGTCCATAGGGTTGCAAGAGTCAGACATGACTGAAGCGACTTAGCACTCATGCACACACTCATGTTCTTGAGAAAAGCCTGCTGATACATCATTTTGTTTCTGAAAATAAGGTAAAGTAACATGGAAATGCCCATTTCCCTGATGGTGGAAGTTTTATTCCTAATTAGGTTACATCTGTATTACCATCCTACAGTGCTGCCTTCCCCAAATGATTGCTTCTTACCTATGAAAAGGTGAGCTTACAAAGGTGTGTGATAAGTCCCTATGAAGAATTCTCTTGTTACACTGAAGTAAAAGACATTATCTATTATTCATTCTTCTGTTTGAGTGAAACGAAATCCTCTCCGAGATCAATCCAGGAACTCTCCTATTGAACTGAGAAACTTCCGTTTGTCATAAATTGAAGATGGTATCATTCCTTTTTGCCTTGGGTGACAGAGATCTTGGGTCTTAATTGAAGTGCCTTTCTCATACCCAAAGATAAAAGTATATATAGATTCTCTGCTCTAAGTTTTCTTTTGGCTGTGCTTTGTCTGTTTTCATAGAGGTTTTAACATTAGAAACTGCTAAAAATAATTTTCACAGTTAAGTATAAACAATAAATATAGTTCTCAACTGGAAAAATATGTTTATCTTTTATTTATTATATAAATACTGTCATGTAGGAGTTTGGCAAGTTGAGATGTTGTGGAACTTTTTATCCTATATTCATGTGTTGAAAGTTCAATTATGTATAAACCTTGGAAAATGAAAATATTTAAAAAGTTTCTTTGGTTACTATTTCAATGTTAATTATAACACTAAATGTTCAATGCATTGATCTGTGCTTAACTCAAGCATATCCCAGACACAAAGTAGTCTATTTCCTCTATCTCCCACTGTTTATCTTTTCCCCAAAGATATTTCTTATAGAGGACAGACTGAAAAAGTGGAATCAACCAAATGTTCACAAATAGGACGATTCGTAAATTGTGGTTTATTCAAATTGTGAAACTTACATAGCAGTTTAAAGAAATGAGAAATTCTAATACAGTCATTATCAAATCATATTGAGAGATAAAAAATGAAACTGAAAAATATGTTCAGTTAGCACAAAATTTAAAATATGTTTTTCTCAGGAATATAATTATGAATATAGATTCTCAAAAAATTTTAGAAATGATACATGCCAAATTGCAGTTTAATTTCCTTCTCCAAGACGGAATTGTAGTATTTATGGACATCCAGAAGGACTTTTTTCTGTCATGTTTCAATCTTTTTACACATTTTTAAACTTGGAATTTCTATACTTAAAAGTAATCTATTAAAGTGCCAAACATAAGTAGCCTTAATTATATCTCTAGCTTTATAAACAGCATTAATGTCCTAGATGGATTCTGTGCTTTGCTGACACAATTCTAGGACATTGAGAAAGAGGAAATGATCATTTACCCAAAATAATAATTTAAAAAAACTTCTTTTACTATGAAATGTTTCTTTGTATACAGATATCTCTTGTTCTTCTGTTGCCCTTCCCGAAGCGTTAAGAAATCATGGAAATTTTAAGATAACGGTACAATGACTGTGGATTGAGGCAAAGCTAAATTGGACCAAAGTCATCTTGGCAAATTGTCATGCTGTCTTTGTATTTATTTCTTTCAACTTTAACACCCACAATTTATTAAGTGAGACAGAGGATACAAGAGGAAGCTCAGAATCCTGTTTGGATACCGTTTAGGAAGGAAGCCAGGTCTTTATGGGGCAGCCCCTTCCTCTTCGCCACTGGCCAGGAAAACCATCTTTCTGTTTAAAACCTATTCAATCTGAGAGAGGTGGGGTGACTTCGGGAAGGAAGGTGACCTCTCCCTTGTAAAGTGGAAAGGCTCTGTCCTCCGCCCGCCCCACGCCGTGACTTATTCAACTCATTTCCACCACTTGTGTTGAATGCTTGCAGTGACAGTGGTAGTCATTTAAAATATAGCTCAAACTTCATGCCCTCAAATTTCCTATGTTATTTCAAATATTTGATCATTATAATCCCAAATGGAGCTTTTGGTCAGCTCAAGTTTGCCTCTGCTCTGTTAGAGTTAGCAGAGATGTTTTGAACAAGCCAGAAGTTTAATAATACATATGCTACTCCTGTGTACAATATAAGCATTGTTGCTTGCTATCAAATCAGAAAAGAAAATGCCTTAATGGGAGCCAGGTCATTTCCAAAATGATACAGCGATGTTTTTCTAAGATGCCTTAATTTCTGGGGTACACAAGTAGTTTGATATATGGAACTGATGTACATGCTGGCTGAGGGAGGCCATCAGTGGAACTTGTTTAAACTTTGATGGTTTTTCAGCATGTTGTTCTTTTAAAATGTATTTGAATTTTGACCTCAACTTTAGCTATGCTGATTTATTTGATTTGATTTGTACTGTGGCTGTGAAATACTGGTCATTCTTTAAAAACTGGCTCCTTAATTCATTTCTTTAAGGTATTTTGTAAGATTTGTATAAAATAATGTCTTAAAATTATATTTTATATTTTATAAATATTTTTATGAAATAATATTTTAGAAGATAAAGGACAGAAATTGTAAGGACCTAATAGAAGTAGAAGAAATTAAAAAGAGGTGGCAAGAATACACAGAAGAACTATACAAAATAGTTCCTAATAACCCAGATAACTATGATGGTGTGATCACTCACCTAGAGCAAGACATCCTGGAGTGCAAAGTCGAGTGGGCCTTAGGAGGCATCACTACGAACAAAGCTGGTAGAAGTGATGGAATTCCAGCTGAGCTGTTTAAAATCATAAAAGATGATGTTGTTAAAGTGCTGCACTCAGTATGTCAGCAAATTTGGGAAAATCAGCAGTAGCCACAGGACTGGAAAAAAAGTCAGTTTTCATTCCAGTGAAGTGGAAGGAAATCTATGACAAACCTAGACAGTGTATTAAAAAGCAAACATATCACTTTGCCAACAAAGGTCCATCTAGTCAAGGCTATCGTCTATCCAGCTGTCATGTATGGATTAAGAGTTGGACCATAAAGAAGGCTGAGTGCTGAAGAATTGATGCGTTTGAAGTGTGTTGGAGAAGACTCTTGAGAGTCCCTTGAACTGCAAAGAGATCCAACCAGTCCATCCTAAAGGAGATCAGTCCTGAATATTCACTGGAAGAACTGATGCTGAAGCTCCACTACTTTGGCCACCTGATCAAAGAGCCGACTCATTGAAAATGACCCTGATGCTGGAAAAGATTGAAGGCAAAAGGAGAAGGGGTCGACAGATAAGTTGGTGAGATAGCATCACCAGCTCAACAGACATGAATTTGAGCAAGCTCTGGGAGATAGTGAAGGACAGGGAAGCCTGGCGTCCTGCAGTCCATGGGGTTGCAAAGAGTCAGACACAGCTTTGCGACGGAACAGCAACAATTTTATAAGATATATCTAATATTTTTATAAAATAAAATGCTGTATTATAATTAAGACATTTTACCCTATAACCCTTTTTTGGGAGTAATTGTAAGTTTACAGAAATGTTGCAAAGATGATGCAGAGTTCCCATATGCCTTCACCTTGTTTCTTCTCGTGTTGACATCTTACATTGCCATGATGCATTTATCAAAGCTAAAAAAAAAAATCTGTCATTATCCATGACTATTATTAACTAAACTCTGGTCTTTATTTGGATTTCACCAGTTTTTCCACTAATGTCCCTTTTTTGTTACAGGAGCCAACCCAGGGTACCACATTGCATTTTGTCATCTAATCTCCTTAGTCTTCTGACTTGCGACAGTTTCCAAGTTTTCCTTTTTCCCATGACCTTGGCAGTCTCAAGTAGTACTTGCCAGGAATTTTGTAGAATATTCATCATTTCTTAACAAAAATGTTTAACCTCTGGGATTTTTTAACGAAAGTCCTGGTAGACTTAGTAATAGTTTATACCACCAATTTTCCACTCATATATCAGTTTCAGCCTGGTGATTTTTTTTTTAATTTTTGTTTTGTTTTTTATTCATTTATTTTTTCATTGGAGAAGCCAGGTGATTGTTACTTTATCGTCTTATCAGTTATAGAAGTACTTTAGAATTAAAAGTTGATTTATGATTAATATTTATATGGTTTAATTTTGTTTAATATTGGCTTTATCTGTGTATGCATTTTACATTCTCAGTGTTGTCAGCTTGTTCAGTTTAAACCCCATAGAAAGTTTGTGTTTTCTCTCTTGTTTATCAGATTCGAGATGGACAGACAAACTGTTACGTGTTGAAGAATAAAGATTTAGAACAAGCTTTTAAAGGAGTTATTTACTTGGAGATGGACCTCATATATAATCCGGTAAGTCTAACTAGACTACCTCCCAACTTCCTTCTATCAAAAGTAAAACGTAGCCAACCTGAAGAGATTCAAATCACTATAAAATGTTTCAGAATTTTTACAGCTACAGAGAAAATAGTGTTTCTAAACTTAGCCAAAAAAAATCAGTGCTTGGAGAAGGAAATGGCAACCCACTCCAGTATTCTTGCCTGGAAAATCCCATGGACAGAGGAACCTGGTAGACTACAGTCCATGGGGTTGCAAAGAGTTGGACATGACTAAGCGACTTCACTTTCACTTTGAATTGGAAGTTAGCGAGTGAATTCTGAAGTAGAGAAATTTGCTTCAGATAACCATTTCAAATGGAAATTTGAAAATCATAGACAAAAAAAAAAAAAAATCAGTGCTGGACAGTCTCATATTAATCCTGTTGGCCCAATAGAATTGATGGTGTGTAATTCTCAATAAATCTAAATGTAGAGAAAAAAAAAACAAGAAATAAGAGGAAAATTAGGTTCTTGGCTTATTACCTTTAATCTTCTTTCATTGACTATTGAACAGAAATGTTTTCAAGCCTCTATGTTATTTAACTATAGTTAGGTACTCTACAATCAGCCATTGTCAGGACAAATAGTTAATTGAAAACAGCAGTAAAAGGAGGATTTTTAAAAATGTATCTTGCACTTTTAGCATAATATAAAATGCGTGAATATATATTGTTCCTGCCAGTCTTTAGGTGCAGGCCTGAAACCTTTTTTCTAATAGCATAGACTTACTGTTTTTAGTTCTACAGTGTATTCCTTGCATACATACACCTGTAACATCTATAATTTCTAATTTCAGTTTCTTGAAAGTAGAGATATTCTTTAAAGACACAGAACAGTCTGAATGTGGAATCCCTCTAGGTTATTTTTCCATAAAATCATCACCTCAGTAGCAGTATCTTTGTATTAACTGACCTTTCTCAACACTTTCCAGAACAACATTGATTTCAAGTCTTTTGATCTGTATTAGGGTTTCCCTGGTGGCTCAGAGGTTAAAGCGTCTGCCTGCAATGCAGGAGCCCCGGGTTCAATCCCTGGGTCAGGAAGATCCCCTGGAAAAGGAAATGGCAGCCCACTCCAGTATTCTTGCCTGGAGAATCCCATGGACAGAGGAACCTGGCGGGCTACAGTCCATGTGGTCTCAAAAGAGTCAGACACGACTGAGCAACTAATACTTGTATAATATATCAATAATCTCTATAATAATTAAAATACAGAATTACAGTATTGGACAAAATTGGCATAAACAGGTTTACAAATTAGTGCATTTGGTTCGGATGGACATATAGTTCGACTGTTGGGGGCAGAAATTCCTAGGCATGTGGGAACGTGGCTTACTTAGCTGTGAGCATTCCTTTGTGATGGTATCAGCAGCAGGTTCTAGAACGGGAAGGGACAGCACAGGTTAGTTAGTGGGGTCCATGAATATAAGATAATGGTACCTTTACAGTAATTAGAAGAATGGCTTCTGTTTATTACCCGTCTACAATGTCTCAGGCTCAGATACTGTTTCATTTCATTCCCAGAAGAAGCCTGGTCCATAGCGATCATGAATGTCATCTTATAATGAGCAAATGGAATTAAACAGGAGAACTGATTTGCTAATAAATGAGTGAGTTAGGATCCAGATGCAGGTCTTCCTGACTCTTATCCCTGATGCTACACTGCTGATTGTTTGCCTTGTTTAAGAGATTATTCATAGAATCAGTAGCAGGGAAGTTTAATACTTTATTCCTGGAAATGTTAGGACTCTGGGCACAGACTCCAGTATGGGGTCTGTTGTTACTTCCTCTTTTTCCCCTTTAACATTTCCCTTCAAGGAGAACCTATGGTGTGTGTTACACACAGATCACCCTTCATCTCCTGTTTTGTTCTGGCAAGGACTTGTATATAGAATATGCATACATGTAAAACTGGAGTTTTAGGAGGGAAACAGCCTTAAATTCAAAACTGTTAGTTAAGTAATATTCTAGCTGTCCATCTGACATAGAAGAAAAGGACTTGAATGTTACTTTTGAGGTTTTTCCCTTAGTATAGTCATTTGGACAAACCGCAAAATCTCTCTGACCCTCAGTTTATTCCCTAAAAACAGGACTAAGATGACTCACGTACTTATTTTTCTGGATCATTGAGAGGAAATGAGATTCTCTATGGGAAAAAAAATGTTTTTATAAGCCGGAAACTGATTTTCACATTGCAAGGTATTACTGGCAAAGGGATAGTTCAAAACCATGATGTGAAGGGAAGTTTGACGTTTTTAGAGACTTTAGTTGGAGGACTTCGTGAGCCCATCTCTGCAGTGGTTTAAAAAAATCTCTTCAATTTGCCGCATCAGAAGAGTCCCCAGGAGTCTCCAGCTTGACCTCCAGTCTCATCTCTCATGACAGTGATGCTCATGAAGTGAGACCCCAGAAGCCCTTGCAGAGCACCGGGGCAACCCTGAGTCTCTGCTCCCCACCCCTACCCAAGCCCTTTGGGTCAGAAGGTGTTGGTTTCTAGGGCTTCTCAGTCATTAGAGTGAAGTCCATCTCAGTGCTTCCGTTTTTAACACTGATGTCTCTTTCTAGATCAAAGCAAGTATTCGGACCTTTACTCCCAGAGAAAAGCGGTTTGTTGAGGATGGCCGCAAGCTGTCCAAAAAGGTAGGTCAGGGCAGTAACCTGGCTTGTTGGGACACTCAGCACCCGCACCTAGAGTAGTTACTGCTCATGACTTGGTCTCATTTCCTCCTCCCTCTCTGCACTTTTCCCCCCATCATCTCCCCTTTCCTCCCTAGATGAGGACTTGGGTTGGGTTCGGTAAAGAAGGGAAGGACTGAGAACGTATCTGTTGATGATGCAGAGGGTGTCGGCCCTCCGCTCATCCCTGAACTGCGTTGTAAGCAGGAATTCTGAGCGTCGAGCTTCCATAAACCCCCGAGTGTCCTGGGCCCCTCCGCCCTCCTTCCGTCACAGCCGTGCCCTTCCCCATCCCTGCACAGTTCAGAGAGGCATTTTGCTCATGACGTCCGGCATACAGGGAAGCCGGTGGCTCTTTCAAGATGTCCAGCCCCAGATTCACCCACAGCTGTTCCTCCCGCTTCTGTTTTGCCTAAATTTGGGATGTGCCAGCATTTAACCCACTGTGGAATTAATCCTCACTCCCCCTGCCAGGGGCGCTTAATTCCTCTCTCATCAGCTCAACAGAAAGTGAAGATCGGGGCTGAGTCGAGGAAGTTTCACATTTTTCTTACCACGACCTTTCCAGCCTGTTGAGAGCCCCTCCCTGTTCTCGTCCCAACAGTTCAGGATTTCACTCTGTACGTACTGTCCCTCTTCAGTTGTGTAACAGCGTGTCCCCTTTTTAAAGTGTTTATGACTTCCACCACTTCCTGTGGGGTGAGCAGCTGAGGATTACATAAAGCAAGTTAAATATAAAGGCAGCTTACCATCCTTTGGTTTCCCATGAACTTCTGGACACACTCGGGAAAGGCCTTAAACCTCTTCTGAAGGGAACATCCAAATGCTTTGTTTTGTTCTGCCACAACATTGAGTGTAATATTTATTTTGTGTAATTGGAATCAGTGGATTTATTATTGTTATTATTATTGTCTTTTGCTCTGTTTACTTGAAAAATTAAAACCTGAATTGGAGTAGGTGGCATTGCTGTTTTTGCAAACAAATTGAAATGAATCTACCAACATCTGGGAGAAAAGACATTTCCTTTGCCAAACAGGACCTTCACCTCCATGTGGAGTGGCTTTGGGAGGTGGGAGCACAAGGGGATTGGGGGCTGAGGCCCTGGGGTATGTTAGGTTTCTCCCTTAGGGCCTCTCACCACTAAGTGTCACCAGATGGTTGCAAAGCTGAAACCTGTACTTGTGACTCAACTACTTAATCCTTCAAATGTCTCCACAACCTCCAAGGTTAGCACTCCTATGTCAACCTCATTGAATAAGAGAGGTTAAGAAACTGGCCCAACATCACACAGCAAAGAGGTGGGAGAGTGGGATTCCCTTCCCGGAACTTGACTTTCCTGTGTTGCTCTCATTGTTCAGTTGCTCAGTTGTGTCCAACTCTTTGCATCCCCATGGACTGCAGCACACCAGGCTTTCCTGTCCTTCACTATCTCCCGGAGTTTGCTCAAACTCGTGTTCATTGAGTCGGCGATGCCATCCAACCATCTCATCCTCTGTCACCCTGTTCTCCCGCCCTCAGTCTTGCCCAGCATCAGGGTCTTCTCCAGTGAGTTGGCACTTCACATCAGGTGGCCACAGGAGTGGAGCTTTATAGACTTTTTCTTCTAGATGTGATGAGCTAGAATACATTTAGATTTCTACTAAAACTACCCAGTTCCTTCCAAACTAAAAACTAAACAGCACAAATCCTCACTCCATTCTCTCTTTCTCAAACACACACACACAAATTCACACATGTCACATTGCTGACGGCTGTATTTTTTACCAGCTCAGTTTTCTGCTGAACATTATTGAAACAGCCTGTTCTCCTTCAAAGGAGCTATAAAATGCATTGGATTTTCTTTTCCTCCCTGAATGGTCATATTTTAAAAATGAATTCTAGAAAAATTTTAGGACTCTTCTTTATTGTTTTGTTAATTAGTGGCTATACAGAATATAATTCAAATGACCAAGCCGTCTGATCTAAGGATAATAATTGAAGTGTGTAAATCTTGTTCCCTGTTTTCCATTTTTTAAAAATCAGATCTTATCCAGAGATGTAGACCGAGTGAAGAGACTCACCATGGCTATGTGGAATACAATACAGTTCCTTAAAAGCTGCTTCCAGTGGGAATCCACGCTGAGAAGTACAGTAGCATTCATGGTAAGGTTCCTTTAAAAAAAAAAAAATTCCAGATTATTTGCTCTGAGTCCCAAATCCAAAGGCAGGTGGGTTTTATTATACTTAGATGAAACAGAATGGTGTATATTCAGCAAAGCTGAAGTTTATACCAGTAAGGAAACTTAAAAAATAAAGGATATACAGTCACCTTCTTAAAATATATTATGTAGGAGACTATGGAGGAGGTTTCTTTCTAAGTCCATCCTGATCAGATTTATCCTTGGGAATCCCTTAACTTACCCAACTCATGATTTAGTCACTCAGTCGTGTCCAACTCTTGCAACCCCATGGACTGTAGCCCTCCAAGCTCCTCTGTCCATGGGATTCTCCCAGGCAAGAATACTGGAGTGGGTTGCCACTCCCTTCTTCAGGGGATCTTACCAACTGAGGGATCAAACCTGGGTCTCCTGTATTGCAGGCAGATTCTTTACCGACTAAGCCACCCAACTCATACTCATATACCATCTCTTGATAGGCTTCCCTGATAGCTCAGTTGGTAAAGAATCCACTTGCAATGCAGGAGACCCCTGTTCAATTCCTGGGCTGGGAAAGTCTGTTGGAGAAGGGACAGGCCACCCACTCTAGTATTCTTGGGCTTCCCTTGTAGCTCAGCTGGTAAAGAATCCGTCTGTAATGCGGGAGACCTGGGTTTGACCCCTGGGTTGGGAAGATCCCCTGGAGTAGGGAAAGGTTACCCGCTCCAGTATTCAGGCCTGGAGAATTCCATGGACTGTATAGTCCACAGGGTTGCGATGAGTCGAGCATGACTTTGAATGTTCTTGTGGTGGTTATAGTCACTGCTTAATCACTACATGGGTCTGTTTCTCTCTTTCTGTGCCCTTTAGTGCCAGTGTGTTTTGAAAAATGGCAGATGAAAAATCACATGACTAAATGAAGACTGCCTTGCTCTAATTTATGTTTTAAGTCAATCATTGACAGACTTTGGTATAAAAAAGCATATGTTCATATCAAACCTCTTGAGTCATAACTGATGACTACAAGTTGACTTCACAGCACTGAGGAGAACCATGATGTCTGTGAAATACACTCTTATAATACCATTGGCCCTTCCTTATGAGCCTGCTAAAATCACAGAATCTCAGACCTGCACGTGATCTTCAAACCACTTGGGTGAACCACCGAGAGTCCCAGAATCTAGTAGGGACTTGAAAGTTACTAATAGCACAGTGTCCTCACTTGGCATCTCGGGGCCTCCTCCCTTGTCTGTAGAGGAACTTGTCATTGATCAGCTTAGTAGCATCGGCGTGGGAGGAGAAAAAAAAAGACAGTCAGCTGCTCTTCTTGCACCTTCTGTGTTACGCCAGTGGTACCCCGCCTTTTTGATACCAAGGACTTGGTTTCATGGAAGACAGCTTTTCTACGGACCAGGGGTGGATGGTGGGAGGATGGTTTCAGGATGATTCAAGTTTATCACACTTATTGTGCAGTTTATTTCTCTTCTTATTACAGCGGCTCCACCTCAGGTCATCAGGCATTAGATCCCAGATATTGGGGACCCCTGTGTGATGTCATTGACTTCTGTCCCGTGTACAGGTCACAGTGTGACCTAATACGTGTGTGAGCAGTCTAGTTACGATCATGGCTCTTCTGTCCCCTGTGTCCTATCATCATCGGGCTCCTTCCTACCCACCAGGCATATCTGCATTAAAAAAAAAAAAGTCCCAGAGGTCAGTGGGTTCAAAGTCACTTCCATTTTTATTATGCAAGCAGTGTGCTGGCTCCACAAGACGCCTTTTCTCAGCCACTGGGGCTCATTCTGTTTTGTCTTTAGTTAATGCTAGTTTTTCATTGGTTTGGGAGGCAGAAGTTCTATGACGGCTGCAGCCTTGGCCTTTAACATACATTTTCTTTGGTTTAAAGTTGCTCGACCAACTGGCCTTGGTACCACCATGAAGAAGGATTTCTTTAAGCCCTGTCTGACTGACTGGAGGTCGATTCACCCACTTTCCTTTCTCACGTTCCCCCGCAGCTGGGGGCTGCTCCTTTTCAGCCTCCCTGCCTCTACTTCCAACCTGAATTTTCTTTACAAACTTTCCAGGGAACGTTCTCTGTGATTCTGGGCAAAAGAGGCCACTTACCGCCACTGGTGGCTTCCCCACTCAGCACCCGGGCCAGCTGCTTGGAAGGGGAAAGGGTTTCCTCTTTCTGGAGCTTGGTTTCTGGCACTGGGATTTTTAGAAAAACAAGAGATCTGTTGCACTGGATTATGTAGGGGGATGACAGAAATGATTAATGGGCTGTCAGCATGATCTGAAGAAAGATTACCACAAGTGAATAGAAGTAAGTTGTTTCGTGGAAGGAGCTTCTACCCAGGAAGCGAGCCTTGGCAGGCAGGGGCGGGGGGCACCGCCTGCGACCTGAGTGAACCCTCCATGCCAACACCACATTGCAGAGTCCTCTGCCAGCCTGGCTGCCAGGCACAGGCTGGCACATCGTCTTTGGACATCCCTCAGTCCCACAAAATGAAAGATACAGGGGTGCTCTTCTAGAAGGTTTGCCAAAATGCGATTTTGCAGGAATCCCTTGGAGACATCCAGGACTGTGAGAGGCCCCACTGGCAGTGTGGATAGGGGATGTTTTCAGCTGGACATCACTGGAAAAATGCAGATTCAATTACCAGTGATATGTGTGTCCACTCTCACTCACTCTGGGTTGTCTTGAGAGCTTCACTTAGATAACACTTAATTTTCTGTTGTCCTTTGGAGTTTGACTTTTGAATGACTGTCTCACATTGACCCTGACCAGCCACGGTGGATCTCAAGAGATACTGCAGTTGTAGATATGCGTATCTCCCTTCCCTAAGCTGCGGATGTGTGATTTCATTCAAGAATGTTTTTGTCACTACCATCATAATGGTCACTCCAAAACCATTTATGCTCCTCAACACAAGAACACCTAAAGAATATGCATTATTAGGACAAAATTTTAAAAATGTGTCATAGCCTCCCTTATTATTTATTTATTTTTTAATAAGATCACGGGTAGCCGAGCCTTCCTATTTTTTGGAAGACATTTTGCTTTTGTGGCTCTTACTTACAGACTTAACGTCAACTGCTTGTGGAGGACTAGTGAGTCCCCTGGGTGCTGCCACTGGCCGTGTCCCTGACTCTGTAGGGCTCCCTTCAGGGTGGTCTTTCTGCCAAATGTTGGGTCCCCCGGTGACCTGAGCCAGACAGAGAGGAGGGGAGACTCTAATGCCGAAGCCTGGCTTCCCTCCTCCAATCCCCTCTTGGGAATACCATATTTGTCTTGTGGGGTATGGGACAAACATTCTCCTACAGTCTGCTGAGGACACACTTCTGCTCCTGGTCTTGATTCATGCATGTGATGCCTTAGTTCATGCTTCTTCCACTTCCCTTGATGTTACAGGGGCAGAATAATTTTTGTGCTGTCTGAAGCAAGGTCTTTTTTTAAGTAATTTTAATTTCTTTTTAAAAAATGTATTCATTGATCCGGCCCTGTCGGATCTTAGTTGCAGCATTTGGGGTCTTCGCTGTGTCATGCAGAACCTTTGGATGCAGCCCCTGAACTCTCTCGCTGTGGTGCTCGGGCTTAGTTGCTCTGTGTCTTGTGAGATCTTAGTTCCTCGACCAGGGATCAAACCCACGTCCCTTGTGTAGCAAGATGGATCCTCTACCACTTTGCTACCACAGAAATCCCTGAAGCAAGGTCTTAAGGCAAGGATTTATTTAACAATAGGACTGCATGTAAAAGCCTGTCTCTGTTAGAAATTAGGATAAGTGCTATTTGAGGGTTCATTGCCCAGATGTGAAAAGAACCGGGTTGGTTGAACCAGTCTCCACTGGGGCTTGTCCTTCCCCTAGAGGTACAGCATTGAAAGCTAAGGACAGAACCCTAGGAATTTTTGTTCACTTCTGTTTTGTCAGATAACATAAAGTTGCCTTACTAACATCATGTCTGTGTGTCTATTTTCAGCCGATAAAAAGCAGGAATGTTATAGGATCATGTTTAGGATATTCTGGCTGTTAATTTTAAGACTTTATGAAAGCAAGCCATACATTTTCTAAGGGATCCTGTGGATGTGTATATGAATATATCATATCTTGTTGAAAGCGGGAGTTAAAGGAAAGCAGCCTGTTAAGATCTAGGTCCAGAATCACAGGAGAAAAAGAAAATCTAGGTCCATGTGGTGTCCAGTCAGATGAACAAACATGAGAAAATTTATCTTTTTAGGCTGTCTAATCATCAGCCTACCCCATGGGGAATGAATCCCCTCTCCACATAAGATGGGTGGTTCTATTCCCCATACTAAGAGACTAAAATGATCTTTAATTCCCTGACACCTGCTATGTGAATGTTGCTGTATACTGTTTAATTCATTGTTATTGTGAGAAGTTAACTGTGGACTTTTCCTTTCATTTTTCTTGAAGTATAGTTGATTTACAATGTTACGTTAGTTTCAGGTGTATATCAGAGTGATTCAGTTATATGTATATATGTCTATTCTTTTTCAGAATTTTTTCCCTTATAGGTTATTACAAGATACTGAGTATAGTTCCCTGTGCTATACAGTAGGTCATTGAATGTGGATTTTTTTACAGCAGTCAAATTCTAAATCACACTTCTATAGGCTCAAGGGTTTTTTTGGCTAGGATAATTAGGGAAAATCTTGCTCATTACTGCTTTTGAGTCTTTCTCCTTCCCCTAAGTTTTCTGGATTTTTTTTCTTACTCTGTTATATTTTCTGAGCTTGATGTGTTTTAAGTTAAAGTTAATTGTTTTTTGCTCAAAATTTCACAGTCTAGTTTCTTCAATTAAAAGACAAGTTCATATGAGATGTTGGCTTATTGACAGAGGCCACATGTAGCTGAAGCATCATGTCTAGAAGAAGCACATCCGTATATTTCCATATGAATGGATTTTTAAAATATACATGGTGTTTTATGTACATGCTCATGATGATTCCCAGTCACAGGCTTTGAACTCTAAGGATAACTCAT